CGCCCGAGGAAGAGAAATTGCGAATTTTCTTGGCTTAGAGCTGATTTTGGCACACGCGCTCGCAGACACACATACACACACAATTTATAAAATAGATAGTATTAGTTAAAATTAGCGCGGAGAAAAAGGATTTCTCCCGTCGAACCGGTGAATTAGTATACGCGGCAGAATGTGCGTCGATAAAGGAAAATTTTTCATGTACCCCACTTCGGACGGCCAAGAGATTTCTCAAAGGGTTGAGAAGAGAGAGAGATTTATTGCCTCTTTATCTCTGTTTCTCTCTCTATATATTTTATTATAAAACATTGTTGCTCTTACGGCGATCGATACGTTATATATAAAAAAATCACAAGAGCCGATTTCTCTCGCTCTCTCTCTCGCTTTCGTGTACTTGCAAATTTCCCTTTTTCTCTCTCTCTCTTTTTTTTCTTAACTTTCGGCTGCCATGCATATTCAGTAGCAGTTTCCTCCCTCTCGCTCGCGTTTTTTCCCAAAGTGCACTCGCGGTTTTTCGTTATAAAAAGAGAGAGACGACGACGACGACGACGACGACGATGGAAGAAGGAAGAAGTGTATCAAGTGCACTACTGTGCCCACGGTGGCAGCTACTACAGACCGAAGTAGTTGACGCGCGCGATGCACGCGACATTGTATATAATATACGTAACGACTCAAAACGGGCAGTTATTGTTGTTGTTGTCGTCGTGGATAGTTTTTTCGTTCTTCTTCGTCATCAAAGTTAAATATTAATAAATATCAACATTTAAATATTTAACTTTGATGAAAAAGAAAATCATCCCCGACATTAACAACAAAACCACAACCACTGCCCGTTTCGAGTCGTTTATATATCAGAGGTGGAGAAGAGAAATATATATCAATTGTATAGGAAGACGCATGATTGTTTTTTTGACCGGCTGGCTTTTTTTATTCTGTATATTTGACACAACGCCACCTTCATTTTTTTTTGTTGCTCCTTAAACGTTTATTATCCTCTATTTATTTGTTCACGCACACGTATCGTATTATAATAATTACAGGGTAATTATGTAGTGGCTTGAGTACGTATCTTATTTATTATTAATTTTTTTTTATTTTCCTTTCCGAAGACCGTGCGATTTTGTGTGCGGGTTGTATACGTGCGTTTCGTTGCAACGTGTGCGCGCGCGTGAGATAACTAGTTTTTACGACTAGAGTTTTTAAAAAATTGAAAGAGAGGGAACGGGTTTTTTTTAATTTATTTACTTTTTTTAATCAACGACACGACACGACCCTTAATTAGTTTTTATTTAACAATTTTATTTTATTATCGTCCTTGCTCCATTAAACTCTAGCTAATTTTTGCGGGCTTTTTATTCGTCTATTCTAGTTTTTGAACCACTTTTCTGCTTTATTTTTATAACCGGCTACCGAGCTTTAATTTTTGACGTTTTTTTTCCTCTTATTCATCACTGACGTTTAAGGTTTTTAATTTCATTTTTTTTTTAACAACGCGTTATTTATAGCCTGTGTTTAATCGTGTGTGTGTGTGTGTGTGTGCGCGCACAACCTGCATATTATATTATATAATTATATAATAAACTCGACCGAGCGACGCGATTAGCGCTAGAGCTGCCACTATACCGTACTATAATACAATCCTCCTGGCCGAGCTTTTGCACTTCCGCTTCGCATTATTGACATTTGAATATATACGCGCGACGGCGGCGGCATGTCCGACGAGTTGCTTCCTTCGCTCGCGAGCTGTCTTCATCAAGTGTCTAGAGACTATATTTGTATATTGTTGTGTGTCCTATTCCTTATTATGATCGATTTAATTTCTCTTAGCACCCGAAATAAATCAAACTTAATTTCAGCAACGAGATCGATAGTTTATAGTTTTTATTTTTATATTTCTCAACAATTGGATCTACGATTGTTTTTACAATTCATTATTTATGCCTCTATACAATACGAGTGTCTATTAATTCATTTAGTTAACGCGTTTTACACGTTTACATCTCCTCTTACGCGCGGCTCCAGCATGTATAAATAGTGCATAATATTGTGCACATAGTAGCAGTATTTTCGACGAAAGATCAGCTCTCCGCGACTTTATAAACTCCGTGTAAAGCCTCTCTCTAGGCGGTGGCGGCAGGCCCATGCCTATTGTGTATACATATTTCATTCAATCGTCGGACATGCGAAGATAAAGAGAGAATAGTAGAGAAGAGAAGAGAGAGAGAGAAGATAAATTTAAAGCACCACCACGTCAGAGTATTTGCGTGTCTGTATGTGTGCATGTGTACGTGCGTGAATAGGTTTGCGTTCTCGAGCTAGACAGACAGGTAATATTTTTGAATTAGATTAAGAAAACCCAGGGTTTTACCAAGAGGAAGGGGGGATGTATAAGCGCGCGCCCCGCCTCGCGCGCAAACGAAATATAATTTTGGAGAAAAGGGCGGTCAATGCACTCGGTGGTGCTTTCTCTCTCTCTCTCTCTTTTATAAAGCTCTCTCTGCCTCTCGCCGAGCTTTCGGGGATATTCAGTCTACTCGACGCCTTTCTCTCTCTCTCTCTCTCTCTCTCTCTCTCTCTCTCTCTTACTCATTCCAGTGTGTATAAGCTCGCTCGCCTTTCTCTTCTTTGCAGCTTTCTCTCTCTCTCTCTCTCTCTGACTCTGGCTCTGCAAGCTCCGCACACGTGTGTGCACGAACGCGCGTACGTGTATTTTATACATGTATGTAGGAAGATCGGGTGTGTGCATGGATAGAGTACGTTATATAGTTCTAGCTGCAACTGCGCGAGAAAGAGAGAAGAGAGAGAGACAGAGGCAGCAACAGCAACGCAGCTTTAGGCTTTACATACATATATATATACATTACTTTATATACATCTATGTATGTATATTTAAGTACACGTATACGTATGTGCGAGTATATATGTGCGCACTGCGCTGCGTTACGGGGGTATATCGATCGCAGCAGCAGCGGCAGTACCAGTAGCAGCTCTTCTCTCGTTGGGGCTGCTGCGCGTTGCTGCCGCTGCTGCTGCGGCGTTGGTGGTAGTGGTGGTGGCGGAGGAGCGCAGCAGTGCACCGCTATATACTCTACTGCTGCTGCTGCTGCTGCGTTGCAGCGAGAGAGAGAAAGACGATGATGGTGTTTGCGTATATAGGTGTATGCGTCGTATATATGCGTGTCTGTACGAAAGTGAGTCTATATATCAAAGGATAGAGCGAGCTCGACGGAACCAGCCGACGACGACGACGACGAAGATCACCAACACACACGCACGGCCTCTAGTGATCATGAAAACCGACGTATAAGAGACCACACACGATGTTTTTTACGCTACCCCTCACCCCCCACCCGTCGTCATTTTATCGCACCTTTATCATTGTTTACATACCGGCTCGTTGTTTTTGATGTTTTTTTATGCGCGTCGTATTTATTATAAGCTCAAATTCTCCCTTAAGAATTTCTTTTTTTCTTCACACACACGTGGCATTCATTATTATTACATTTATATTTTATTTAAATACCGTATTCGCGAGACGTGCCCCTGGCCCTGTGTACGCGCGTACATCGCATGCACGATGCATTCGAAGGAAAAGTTATAGGATACGAAGAGAGTATAGAGAGAAAGATATCCACAGCCTCAGTTTGGCACGTTTATATTTAAGCGTATAATACATACAAGTATGTGTTTTGCGCGCCTGTACATTTTATATGTAATGTGCTTGTTTGGGTATTCTGCAGTCTTACCGCGCGCCGCCGCCGCGAACACAACACACAGCAGCCATATACCACCATCGCAAGCTCCGCATGCCGCTGCAGTGGAAAGCTCGTCTTATTGCGCCCGGCAGCGGCGTCCCTTTGTTCTTTTCTTTCTCTTTCTACTACGACTCTCTTTTTCTCCAACACTCATGTCAGCGGACGTACACACACGCACACATACACACACACAAACCCAACATACCCGAAAAAACTTGGCACTATCTCTCTGTGCCTTTTCCTGTAGAGCCACCAAACCGCCTCCCGTACTACGTACTGCACCACCCACGCGCGCACACACACACACACACACACACACACACACACATCTACGAAACGGAGAAACGTGTACGTGTTTTTTCACCCGATGTACAAATTACCTCGATCGCGGCGCGTACTTTGCTACACAGCATGAGCGGGTTCAATTTTGTGTCTTTGTTCTTTCCGAGCTCTCTCTCTCTCTCTCCCCTTTTTTTTTCCTCTTTCTTCGACGTATATATAAACTTGATTACGCGAGTATAAAATTGGCAGTTTTTCGGAGCAGGAGGAGGATTGTGCGCGTGCCACACACATGTATTCCAGAGCCAGCAGCAGCAGCAGCGGCAGCAATATAACAACGGCTGCACTGCGCTATAATAACGATATCGCGCTTAATACGGTGCATGCGTGTATACGTCGTTTTACGCATTATTATTATTATTACTATTATTACAAATTTCGGGACTGCTGCTGCTGCTGCTGCTGGCGTAAAGTAGGTACTGCACCTCGTCGGCAGCTGGGGGGTGCGCTTAGCTCATATATATATTTTTTGTGTCATATAACGTCGTCGCCGTTGTCGTTGCACGAAATAATAATTTTATATCGTCGCGCACACCGGGCGGTATATAGCGCAATTTTGCCAATATCACACACACACACAGATACACACTTTGTCATATGTGTAATTTCGTGCGTGTTATATACGTGAATGTGTCAGACGCGATTATTATACCATTATAATAATACTATAATTTCTGCGAGACAGCGTGTCAACAGATTTATCATTATATTATATTATCGTAATAACAACGATTCGTACAGTCGCGCACACAAATGTGATTATAGTTTTGTTTTTCCTTTCACTCGCAGGCATTATCGTCATCGCGTCCTTTTGCGGGCAAACACGTCGTCGTCATGCACACACATACATACACTTATACATACATGTTTCGTCAATTATATAATAGTAATAATAATAATAATAATAATAATAATAATAATAATAATAATAACAATACTAATGATAATAATAACGATAATGACAACGACAATAAGGATAATCATACACGTAAACGTATAGCGAGTTAGTTACGAAAAGCGGATGTGTACAAAAATACGGTTAACACGATTGAAAATTTGGCACTTGAGACCCTCGTCTACGGTTTTTATTTTATTTTATTTATTTTATCATTATCTCATAGTATTCTCATTAATATAATTCTTCTTCGTTATTTATAATTTTTTTTTTCATCTTCACCTCTCTCGTACTTAATAATACGCGCGAAGCACTGTTTTCATTAATCGTAACGCTTAAAATGTCTGTGTGTATCATTTTTCACCTGTACGTCGTATCCGTCCTGGTGGTGTCGAGTACGAGCCTTTTTTATCGACCTCAGCTCGCTGCCTGCACGATCGTCATCGTCGTCGTCGTCGTCGTTGTCGTTGCAAATTGAATCGCAGCATCGGCAGCAACAGTAGCAGAATCGTAATTAGCGTCCACCATCGCCGTTCGCGGCGTCGTGAGCCACTGCTAATCCTCCTCCTCGGCGGCCATCTTGGCCAGATTCATCAGCATGAGCTTCTTCTTGGCGATCTTGCTGTACTCGATGTCGATCGGCTTGGTCGTGTCGTACAGGCTCGGCGCCTGCAGTATGATCATGGCCGTGCCGACGATACAGGCGATCGTGAAGGCGATCAGGAAGATGCGGTCGATCACCATCGCCACGTACTTCCAGTCCTCCTCGACCTGAGTTTAGTTCAAAAACAGAAGAAAAACAAAAAAAACAGAGAAACGTGATTATTTTTACATATCATGTATATAGAAAGGAGTTTTGCAGGATACGAGCGCGCGCGCGAAGTGCTACAGGAATTATTTATATTCGCCGAGCGGTGCGCGGAGGAGCTTTTAAAGCTTCACCCGCGCGCGTCGTGAAATTATTTATCCTCTCGCTCTCTCTCTAGTGCTGCACGTAGCGATCGATATTATACGTATGCCTGTCTATATAACGTCGACTACTTTCGGTTTTCGCGCTTTGACGCTTTATAGCTAACGTCTCACTCGCTATACTACTCGAGCTTGATCTGATTTACCGGTATATGTGTGAGGGTGAGAGCGGAGTCTAGCCGCGCCTAATACCTATGGTGCCGCACTCATCTCTGCGCTTTCTCGGACGTTATATTGCCGAGCTATATATAAGGCGGCTTTCTCGGTATAGTATCCAGCGAGGAGCGAAGAGGGAGGGAGGGAGGATAATTGAACGGACAAGAAGACAAAGTGAGACGAGTCGGCGGCAGTTAACAGGTGGTAAAGTTTTTGCCACGGCTGAAAAAGGATAGAAAGGCGGTATAAGACATTGAGAAATCGGTCCCTCGCACACACACACACGCGTACAAGCTTCAACCCCTCCTCTTTTTATATTCTCTTAAGGGAGCAAAGTGTGTAGTTGATCGGCCTTCGAGGACTCGACGCGACGGCAAGAAAGAGATTGATGTGCGATGCGCATGTGTGTGTGTGTGTATAACATCGACTGAACGATCGGCTGGTGCGACGATCAGCTGTGTCATTTCCAAAGTAGATGGGACGAAGCTGCCGTTGTAATGTGTGCTATATAAACGTCAGGCGCACACACACACCGGAGATTAGGGCCAAAAAAGCTCGCACAGCAGCAGCAGCTACATTATAATGCACACGTTGGCAGAAGCCAACCCTCCCTCTCCTCTGGAGATTACGCAACCGAGAGAGAGCGAATATCGCTCTTTACTATCAAATTTGGAATCTAGGTGTGTGTATCTATGTGTGTTATATATACTCAGCTCGGGCAGCTATTATGTATATACACACACACTCTCTCTCGTATCTACACCGAGCTATGGGTTATCGCGATCGGGCATCGAAGCCCCAGCGCACTGGATTATGTTACCGTTAATTAATTGCCCTATACCCGCTCGTCTATGTGAGTGTGTGTGTGTGTGAGTGTATGTGTGTGTGCACATAATACACTGCTGCTGCTGACCGTGCACACCTACATTATTACTTCGCGCGTATATATGTAAAAGCTTGGATATTTACCGAGAGATTTTCATACCCGTGGTTCTGATCGGTATGTTTATATACAAATGGATTATAGATATATGTATTGGCCTACATCATTGTACTTCAAAAAAAGTATCGCGCTTAATCCCCTCGTGCGCGTCGGTGGCGTCAAAAGTCGAGCTCGCCCACTTTTTTATTCTCGTTTATTAAGCGCGTTAAAAAAAAAAAAAAAAAACGTTGAATCGGAAGTAACGCCGTGGGAGTCGTCTCCTCCCCCAACCTCGTACCCTACGCAATATATAAAATATATATACGCGAGTGCCACGCCATATATATACGTAATACACATTTTTATGCAATTTTTGACCCAGTATAACGCTCTTTTAACTTTTATAAAAAAAAAACATACATTTGCGCGAGAGCAAATGAATATTCACGAGAAGGGGTGGTTCAGGCTCTGTATGCGTGTGCTGCCGCGTGCGACCGCTAAAAAAGCGATTAAAAGCTATTTTCATTTTGTTTCATTTCGCTTCGTGGGTACGCGCGTTGATCGGAGCTCGTCCAAAAGAGGTGATAAATCACTGGCTCGCGTGTATTGTTACGTTACGTATATGTAGAGTAAAAAAGGCTCAAATCTATTTCGCGCGTAGCACTCCGTATTATAAAAAAGAGAGTTTGACTAAATTAAAAAGTTTTTCTCATCGTCATATGGTATATATTACTCACGGCCTCGAATTTGTCCTTGTTCTTGGCGTGCTGGGCGATGAATCTCGCGTCCTCGATGGTGCGCTCGACGTCGCGCAGCCTCTCGAACGTCGGGCTGGGCTGGAGCTCGTGCGGATCCTGCGGATGCGGATGCAGATGATGATGATGATGATGATGAAAGCCCAGCGGATAGCCGTTGGGCGAGGGCGGCCCGAAGAGATCGTCGTCGGCCCCGGGCAGGGGCAGCGCCACCACCCCGTCGTGCTCCACGGTCACGGCGAAGTCGCCGAGTCTCAGGTGGGCCGGTGACGAGGGCAGATTGACGATGGGCAGCCCCGGTGGCAGCTCGTACTCGGCCGCGTAGCGGCCCTTCGAGCCGACGTACACGTCCGGATAGGTGCCGACCTCGATCGTCGGCGGGGCCGGGCTCATGTGGAAGACGTCGGTGAGTATCGCCCCGCCGTTGGCGTGATCCGAGCCAAGCGGCGGCTGCTGCTTCACGGCGGCGAGCTCGTTGGCCTCGCGCACTATCATGTCGCGCTCGTCGGCGTCCAGGCCGCCGCCGTCGTCCTCGTCCTCGTCGTCGTCGAGCTCCGAGCAGCCGTCGTCGTCCTCGTCGTCCTCCTCGTCCTCGGCGTTGGCCTCGTCGCCGTCGTCGTCCTTCTTGGGCCGCTCGAGCAGCAGGAACTTGGGCAGCACGTCGATGAACACGACCCTGACCCAGGGCGCCATCTTGTGCGTGACGGGCGAGCGAAAGTTGACGTTGAGCACGGCTATGGTGACGACGACCGAGAGCGTGACCAGGACCATGGTGAAGAGCAGATACTTGCCGAGTAGGGGGACGGTGAGCGAGGTCGACGGTATGATCTCGACGAGAAGGAGGAAGAACACGGTGAGCGAGAGGAGGATCGAGATGGCGAGGGAGACCTTCTCGCCGCTGTGCGAGGGCAGATAGAACACGAGCACGGAGAGGAAGGAGATGCCGACGCAGGGGATGATCAGGTTGACGGTGTAGAAGAGGGTCTTGCGACGCAGCGTGATGTAGAACATGATGTCGGGGTAGGGCTCCTCGCAGCAGATGTAGAACTTCTCGTTGCGCACCGCCGGCACTTTGAGTATGTCCCACTCGACGGAGATGTAGTAGTCGGTCAAGTCGATGCCGACGTCGATCTCGTTCGAGTCCTCGCTCTGGAGCAAGTGCCTCAGATCGACCTGTGTGTCCGACAAAAAAAAAATGGACCGTGTGGGAGCCACGCCCTGCTGCTATATACAGAGGCATTCGCGTACACACACATACACACACGTAGAGAGCTTGCAGCACCTTAGGCCGCGCGCGTAGATTTATCGGTTCTCTGGGCTGGACCAACCTCTATATACATAGCTCTTTCTCTCTCCGCCCGGATATCGGACAGTCGGATTTGTCCGACATACATATAGGCTCGTGCAGCAGCTGCTGCAAGCTCTCTCTCTACGTTAGCTATATATCAAGAATGCACGAGCGTGCGAATGAAAATTTTATGTTATAATAGCACGGACTCGTGTGCATATGTGTGTGTGCTCGCGGTGGCCTACATTATAACATATGAACTCACCGTGTATCCGTCGTAGGTCCACGAGCCGAACTTCATGAAGCAGGTCTGCTGATCGAAGGGAAAGTACTCGACGTCGATCTCGCAGAACGACTTGTAGATGGCCGGCGGCTTCCACACGACCTTGCCCGTGTGATGCAGTATGGCCTTGGTCATGATCGTCACCTCGTAATTACCGTCGGCGCTGAGGGACGACGACGACGACGACGGGAACGGAGCAAAAACAAAAAAAAACACAGAAAAATCAGTTCCTGAATCAGTTGCGCGTGCACATGTATATATATCGGCGCGGTTGCCGAGCTGCGGTGAATCGACGCGAGAGAGAGAGAGACAGACACACACAAACGGAAATGCAAATTCGCGTTCGCAAGCTCGATCCTTTGGGAGGCTAGTCATGGAGATTCATTTCACGTTTCTCTGCGGCGAAAACGTACAAACCCACACAGACAAATGTAGCGTATATACACACACACACTCGTTTTGCTCTCTGCCTTTCGGTCGAGCGAGCAACAGAAAAGCAGCAGCAGCAGCAGCGACGCGGCGCGCAGTGAATCAATATAATATATATGTATATAAGTTACCCCGTGCCGCTGCAAGCTCGAGTGGAGCTTGCGGCAGAGAGATCAACGCGATCGTTTTCTTCCGATCGAGCGGGTTTGTTTCTTTTTCTCTCCCGCAAGCTCCCACAGCTAGATATTTATACAGGGTAAAGGTGGACTGATTTTGTCGATTCCCCCCCTCGCAAGTCTTACGTAAAGTTACTCTTTACCTGCTGCCGGAGAGCTTGCAGGCGCGCGCGCGAGCAGCAAGCCAAACGACTCGATTAAAATCTACTGCACATTCCATAAATTCCCTCTCTCTCTCTCTCCCTTGCAAGCTTATACACATACTACTTTGTGGGCGCACCGAGTTCTCTCTGCTGGGCTAGGCTACACTCATTCTTCTTCCACTACTTTTTCTTCTTCTTTTTTTTTGTGTCAAAGTTGTCGCGCTCTTGAGATGTTATATATACGTGTATGTATGTGTGCGGGTATGCTCTATTTTTCGGGGACATCGAGCGCCCTGCGGAACGTATAGCGAGACGTTAAGGACCTCTTTCGCTCTTCGTAGACACACACGCGCGCATACACGTACAATGAGAGAAAGATCCACACGACCGAAAGCTCAAGTCTTTTCATTAATATTCATTCCGTCGAAGCTTCCAAAGGTGCAGGCGATAAGCTTGACTCTTTGTTCTTTACGTTCTCTCTCTCGCAGCTAACCAACTCGTGACTCACTCTCGCGGAGATCTCTCTTCTTTTTAACCCATCTTCCTTTTTCTTCTACTTTCTTTTTTCTTTTTTTTTTTGCTCTATCGTTTGATCGACGAGGCGTACGCCTTTGAAATAGTGAATTTCTCGATTCTCTCCCCCCATTTTTTTTTATCATACGCCTCCGCGCAGTCTATGGCTCTATAGCTCTCGATATTTCGCCCATATTATATACATATGTGTCTGCCTGTATGTGTGTGTATCACGATTCCGTCCGGCTACTCTATCGCTTGATTAAAGCACGTATATAGAACGAATAGGCAACGGTCGGACACGTGTGGGCCGAAAAAATTTTTTATCCGCCTCGACTCGGAGCGTACGTGCATAGACCTACGATCGAGACGAACGTGGACTACGAATATTTATACACATTTGGATTTATTATTATTATTATTATTATATTTATATAAAGGTATTTTGCAAATTCGTAGATTCGTAGCTGCTGCTGCCGCTCTCTCCTCTCTCTGGTATAAATAATTCATCGAATTTTCGTTTGGTATTCGCGCGGGCGCGTGTTTCGCGTTTTCGAAAATTTGTATCGCGCGCGCGCGCCTGCCTATATAATCCAGTACGGAACTTGATATACAGAATCGCGAACGAGCGAGCGAGAGTAATATTTTAGTATCTTTGTGATTCCGCCGCGAGCTTCTCTCTTTCTCTCTTTCGCCTGTCTGTGTATGCAGTGCGCGCGGCCAACTCGCTAATATTTTATTCTCGTTTCATTTGCGGCGCTCGCGCGAATATTATTTGCTAGGTGAATTTTCATCTATTGATTTTCGCTTATTACACTCCGCAGTCACGTTTACCCCCTCTCACTCATTCGGGGTGAGCTCCTCGATTGCCATTGTTTCGAAGACTATATACGATGGAAATATTATTATAGCGAGCGCGAGTCGAGGTAGAGAGAAAAAAAATTATGCGACTTTAATAATGTACATAATCAAGAGTTGGATATATCAAATATTTTCCTCCGCCGAGAGAGAGAGAAAGAGACAGAAACGAGCGAGGCAGACAGAGCTGCGCTGCAGCCACACCAATTAGTAATTCGTTCGCCGAAGCTTTTGATTGTTCGCCGCAGCGGCAGTGGCGCGCGCGCATGGGAGCTCTGAAAGTTGGCCGCACACACCGTCGCGGCCCCGTGTTGCTGCGCTAAGTGCGTTAAAGCAAGTTTAATCGTTGAAAGCTCGGCGTCATCCGCTCTGGCTATTTGTGTATGTGTGTGTGTGTGTGTGTAGATAAGCTCAGGATGATTATGATAATAGTGATAATAATAATACGAAAATTCGGAAAGAATCTGTTTATTACGTCTCGTTTATTTTTTTCCTTCTTCTTCTTCTTCTTCGTTAAATGATCCTCGCGCGCATCCTCCCGCTTTATTATTTCGATTTGCGAGCGACGACAACGACGATGAATCTTAACGAGGCGTACTTTCGTGCTCAACGACGACGACAAAAAAAAAAGGAGGAAGAAAATGAAAGAAAGAAGAAGAAGAAATCATGGTAATAAATGAATGAACGAATCAGCGCGTTTACTACGTAGAGTTAAGGCGATCGTTATAAGGATCGCAGTATATGCACGCGCTTATGCCAAAGAAAAAGAACATTGTAGCGTGTAGGGCATATTTGTCGAGCACTTGCTTATGACGGGGCGTAGATGTGTGTAGGTGTACACAGGGATATATATACGTACAGAGCTACAGGAGAAAAAGAGAGAGAGAGAGAAGAATGAAAAGTGCGCTTACCCGCTGGGAGCTGTACCGTAGGCTATCTACTTGCCACTTCGGTATGTGTCTTTTTAATGGGCGACTCTCTCTCTCTCTCTCTCGTTCTTCCTCTCCTGTCTTTCTCTATTCTCATCTTTCTCACGCTCTCTCTGTCTCTGTGCATATACGTAGCCTAGCTATGCCAGTAGCCCCTATGACCCATTGACCCTTTCACCTTATTTCGGGGCCAGCGAGAGCGCGAGCCTCACATCGCGAGTGCGACACATTCATTCTTTCATCATCACACACACACACGTATATAATAATACAATCGCGAGCTCGTCGCGCTGGTGTATAATGAGCCAAGGTATACGCAGGTATACCTTGAAATATTCATGCTGCGCTTCCCCCGCGCGTCATATACGCTATATATATACGATATAAATGTACGATACGACGGTCTCTCGTGCACCTATACGTCGCGTATATATATTATATATATATTATATAATAAAAAGGAATAGGTACTCACTTGTTGTAAAGTACGATGTCTGGCAGCCATATGTGCTCCGAGGGCACGTGGAGCGTGTCGACGCCGCCGTAGTCGTCGGGATTCCATTTGAGCTTGTAATCGTTCCACTCCTGCGGACACAAGCACGAACAAAAAGAGAGTACATTATTATAACGTGCGCAAAAAATGTGTAAAATGCCGCGAGAACGAATCTCATGCTTCGATTATACGAGCTTCTCTCTCGACTCTCGTTCTCTTACATAAACGCGTCAGGGTACATATAGAAGCACAGGGGTATGGAGAGAAGGAGGAGTTGGAAGGAGCAGCGCTGATTAAATTCGTTCGAGGCCAAAGTTTCGAGCGCAGTAGTTATCGAGACCCGAGCTGCGCGAATTAGTCTTTAAGTATCGTCGTTCCTAGGCTCCACGCAGCTCGAGTGCCGCGCAGATATGAGAATTACCCTCGTTTTATCTCGAGATACCGCGTACAGATCTCTCACTTATACTCTCTCCCTCTGCGGAGCTTTACATATATTATAAGTCGAGCTTTATATCTCAATGTTACATTACGTTACTCACACACGGACACACGTATAAAAGCGTGCGTACCATTACACGCGGAACGTCATCGATCGACGATCGGTACTACGGCGGCGGTGGCTACGGAACAACAAACTTCGTTTCCCGCGCGCCAAATTGCGTTTCGCAGCGTATATATATATACGTTGAATATCTACTCGACCTCTACTCACGGAGCTTGCGAAAGAGCGAGCGAGTACACATAAGTGGCTTTCTCTCTCTCGCGCGCGTCAAGCTTGTGTGTGTGTGTGTATGTGTGTGCGAGTGGACCAACCAATTTATTAAGGACAGAGAGCGAGAGACTGTGCGAGGCGCAGCTGCTCTCTCTTTCATTATATGCATCGGACCTATAAAGAAAATTGGCCTCGAAACGGGATTGGAGAGCATGGAAAAAATATTTGATATAACGAAAAAAAACATTAACGAGGCGTTTTTGATCTCTGAAGTGTTCGTATGAAATTTTTTGATGAATCGAAACCGTCGTTATTTGGAGTTGAATATCGGGCTTTTGCGTCGCGAGCAATTATCGAAATTTTGATCAAGCGCACGAAAACGTCGGAAGACGGACCGTTTTCACGCTTTTCGATAATATACATAATTTTCTGGCCGTTCGTAAAATATTTACGTTACAATAGCAAAAGTTACTGTATGATATTAGAGAGTATATCAAAGTAAATAAACTGTCTGTTTATTTGACCAATGTCGGAACTTTTGAGATGGACTGTCCATTTGAGATAGACACACTGTTATTGTTTCATAGAATTTAATAACGATACTTTGATTAAAAGTAACGCAAAACGCTTGAAAATGACAAAATATTGATGTATTGAGAACTGAGGCAATCGTACCAAAAATTCCACGTACTTTATAACTCTTATTGTTAAGGAGTAGTTCATACTTCAGCGTTAGGTGGCGCACGGCCGACTTCTCGAAAACCAAAAGAAAAAAGGCAAAGTTTTAGCATTAAGTAAGAGCTACTACTTTATTTATTTTAGGGTAATGTTTTTATTTGCTTCAATTAACACATATATTATATGCATCTTTAAGCAAAAGCTAATTGAGCCTACATTTCGAAACCATTCGAAAATACGTAGACCTGTCGCGACCCGTCGCAACGACGTTCCGCATCATCGTGTTGCAAGAAATACATGTACATTTATGATGTACACATATATCGTACATTATTACACGTGTGTGCTATACACGCGCGTGCGGCCACGTGAGAATACACGAAATTAAATTTCATCCGTCCGTCCGCATGAGCTTGGCCCAGCAACAAAAGTCGCATTCACCACTACTGATATCCAACTGTGCCACACGTTTGGGCGACGTAGGATATGTATATATAATTGAAATCTGATTAGTCGTCGTCGTCGTCGTAGTCTGACGTACGACAAAAAAAAAGAAGAAAGAATGAGACGAGTGTGTGTGTGTGTCGGTGCACGAAAGCGGCTTATAATACCACGTTATAACGTATAGAATAGAGAAAGAGAGAGAGAGAGGACAACTTGGCAACGGATGTATGGCCGTTGGAAAACAGACGGAGTTAATCTAGCGAGGCCCTCTTATTATTATACCCGTTGCAGCTGCATGCGGCAGTCAAGGTAAAAAGACAGAGCTCAGCCTCCGAGGCTATTGTTGAAAAATGTAGATTAGTACGGCTGAATAATAATTGCGATATGTGTGTGTGTGGCTCGAAGAAAGAGCTCATCTCTCACACACACATTGGTAATGGAGCAACAATAACATAATACTCGAAGCCCTTTCATACGCGTTTTATCGAGGAGCGCGTGTCGCGCTCCACCTGGCAAGTATGACAGGAACTAAGTGACGACACGCCGCTACTCATATACAGCCCATACCTTCCCGCAGACTTTCTTTTCGCTCTCATTTGAATTTGATAAGAGTTATCGAAAATCTGATAAGCCCATCAGATTCCTTGGAAAAAATCCTATCGATATGAGGTATTCGAATTTTCGAAAAGTTCACGACTTTCGATAAAAACAACATTATGAAAGTGAGAAGCATAAAAAATGTTAACACCTAAAAAATGTTAACACCTCATACGCATTGCCTTTGTGTGTTGTGTATACATATACGTGCTGTCGCGTATATATGTCGCATATATCGAAGATTCTCCTAGAAGTCGCGGTGCTTTCGCCCGAATATCACCCCGGGCGACTCGCTCGACGCACTAGGTCGAGTCCTGTACTCGACGATGACTTTCTCCGGGAAGTCGCGATGTATTCACACGAATATCGTCCCGGGCAGATCGCTCCACGCACTAGGTCGAGATCAGTACTTGACGATGACTTTCTCCGGGAAGTCGCTGTGTTTTCGCACGAATATCGTCCCGGGTGCCTCGCTCGACGCACTAGGTCGAGATCAGTACTTGACGATGACTTTCTCCGGGAAGTCGCTGTGTTTTCGCACGAATATCATCCCGGGTGTCTCGCTCGACGCACTAGGTCGAGATCAGTACTTGACGATGATTTTCTCCGGGAAGTCGCTGTGTTTTCGCACGAATATCGTCCCGGGTGTCTCGCTCGACGCACTAGGTCGAGATCAGTACTCGACGATGACTTTCTCCGGGAAGTCGCGGTGTTTTCGCACGAATATCGTCTCGGGCGCCTCGCTCGACGCACTGGGTCGAAATCTGTACTTGACGATGACTTTCTCCGGGAAGTCGCGCTGTTTTCGCACGAATATCGTCCCAGGTGGCTTGCTTCACCCAATAGGTCGGAATCCGGACTTGACAATGATTTTCTGCGGGAAATCGCGATGTTATCTTACGGGAATCACCTGAAGTAGTCTGCTCGACGCACTATTTTGGGATCCGGACTTGACGATGATCTTCTCCGAGAAGTCGCGATGTTTTCGCATGAATTTTATTGTCAGGACGTATTTTTCAAATTTTCTACGTGTATCATAAGAATATCATTGATGTGCAAGTATGTCCGTCTTATCCGCATATTTTTTTGTGCTACCTTATGTTTCTAAACTATTCAATTGGTAATCTCATCTCGTAAATGATAATCAATTTCTTGGCTATGATATTATTGAAATCTAATAAATTCCGTCAAGTATTGATCAAACTAACAATTTTTTGTTTTAATCTGTTATCCTACTGAAATGTTTATAATAGAATAATTCAAAACCTTTTTAATACTTTTTTCAAAAGTTTAAATAGGGGCAAGTATGACAGTCTGATCCTTATAATTTTAATCTAACTTTAAAATTCTTTCTCTTATTTATGAAACTTCTAATTTAAAATTGTTAATGATTAATTACTTAGCTATGATAGTAATGAAATCCAATACATTCCGACAAGTATTCAAGCAAACTAAAAATGTTTTCTCTCAAACTATAACCATGATGCAAAGTTTGTGATAAAATAATTCAATAACTAATCATATGACTGTTGACATTAATAGTAACTGTTAGATTCAATAATCAATCACATTCACATATTATTGAAATCAAATACATTCCGACAAATATTCAAGCAAACTAACATTTTTATTTCTCAACCGATAACCACAATGCAAAGTATAATTGTTAGAATTGATAGTAATTATTCAATTATATACAGTGATAACTGAAATGATACTCTCATGCGATCATGCAAAGGTAACAGTGGTATGTAAAAAAACCTTACTTATGACTCTACTTGCCCGGCCGTCTCGATAAAATTCAAGACTTTCTCAATCGTCATATAATAATTATCAATACATAAAAAATATAGTTTTCAAAGTTTTCGTCATTTTATTAGAAGCCTTTAATTTAATGGGTCTACAGTGCATGAGACCTTTGCTCATCTAATCTTTACAAAAACACGCAAAAAATTTACTTAATTAAAGACAAAATATAAAGTCACCAGCCTGCATTCTTTTTCTATTTTAATATACAATTTTTTCTCAGAATCATTCTTCCATCAGTTCATAAAAAAGACTAAATGTCATTCATGTAAAGGGATTATAAGATTATGTTACTATACATCATTGAATTGAAAAATGTAACTAACTGTTCAGAAAATTTTTGTAAAATATATGGTTTTCTTTCGGTACGTGAAATTGTAATGTTCGCATCGGATTTGATCGAGACGGCCGGGCAAGTAGAGTCATAAGTAAGGTTTTTTTACATACCACTGTTACCTTTGCATGATCGCATGAGAGTATCATTTCAGTTATCACTGTATATAATTGAATAATTACTATCAATTCTAACAATTATACTTTGCATTGTGGTTATCGGTTGAGAAATAAAAATGTTAGTTTGCTTGAATATTTGTCGGAATGTATTTGATTTCAATAATATGTGAATGTGATTGATTATTGAATCTAACAGTTACTATTAATGTCAACAGTCATATGATTAGTTATTGAATTATTTTATCACAAACTTTGCATCATGGTTATAGTTTGAGAGAAAACATTTTTAGTTTGCTTGAATACTTGTCGGAATGTATTGGATTTCATTACTATCATAGCTAAGTAATTAATCATTAACAATTTTAAATTAGAAGTTTCATAAATAAGAGAAAGAATTTTAAAGTTAGATTAAAATTATAAGGATCAGACTGTCATACTTGCCCCTATTTAAACTTTTGAAAAAAGTTTATAATATACGAGCTTACTTTTTGTCGTTGCGGATTTACGCGATTATTTAGTTACGTAGCATAACACGGATTCGCGCAGATCGGTAATCGAAACGTTGCCGTTTGCTGCTGCAGCCGCTGTTGCAAGCTCGTGTGCCTTGTGAATAAATCAAAAGCCTCGTCTAGACGACTCGTCCTTTACCCCCTTCTTGTTTCACACATATACACACACGTTTTATATCTCTTACGCTCTTTTGCCATTGTCTCTCTCTTCTGTGTGTACACGTATTATCGTCAAATCGATAAAAGATTAATACCCGATGGGAGTTTATACTCGATCGCTGCAGCGCGCGAGTCTTTATTTTATTCACTTTCGTTGCGAGCTGGCGAGGTGTCGGTGAATTAAAGTCAATGAATACTCGGCCTCCCCCCTCACCCACGGCTTTATTACGAGCTTATAACGAGGAAAAATCGCGTTTAACGTATAGAAAACGACGACGATGATGAGGCTTTAATTGCGGCAAACATCCGAGGAATAATATTGATCTGCAGCCCCTTGTGGTAAGGCGATCTCTCCTAAGTTAATACGGATGTTGAAGAAGGGAGCGGGGGGAAAAAAGAAATTTAAGAGATTGAGATTGAGAGAGAGAAAGAGCTTAATCAATGCTGGTTATCGCTTACCTGCTCGACCCAAACGTTCGTCGTCATAATCTGATTCTTCAGGTTCTGCAACAGAGAAGTAAGAGAGTGAGAGAGTCAGACAAAATAAATGTAAAAGGTCAAATCGTTATTTAAAATGTTTCATCGTGATAAAGCAAGCGAGGGTTAAGGCAAAGGAGGAATGTTTGTGTGTGTGTGTGTGTGTGTGCATGTGTGCAGTGTGTCAGGCGGCTTTTTTCCTCCTCCTTCTTCTTCTTCTTCTTCTTCTCTCGCTCCGGCTGACACACTAAAATGCTCGTGAGCTTTTTTTATCCAAGCGAGAGAACAGAGAGAGAGAGAAGGAAAAAGGCTGAATCGTCGAGTCTAAAGCTCCGAGACCATAAATTTTGCTCCTCGCACGCCCTGAGAGCATGTGTGTTAGTAGAATGTATACATTCGTGTGTGTGTGCAGTGCGAGCTTTTTCGGCGGGGGAGGGTCGAAAAAGGTGCGAGCTGTCCCAGGGACAAAAGAAGCTTCGCTTTAAAGCTGCGAGACATTCTTGCAAAGCTCGCCTCTCTCCATACATACATATATATAGCATTTAGCTTTCGATAAAACCAGTCCTCTCCCTTCTACTACTATTTTTTTTTTTTTTCAGGAAAAGCTCGCGAAAGCTCGCACGCACTCGCGCAAACACGCTCTCGAAAAATGTATATAAATTACCTAAGCCTCTCTCCCGCGTGTGTGTACACTGGAGCGCTTGCGTATATATATTCGCAGATAGGCGGCGGCGGGCCCGGGTGTATGATTTAAGTCTGTGTAATGCACTGCGCTGCCACGCGCGGGTAAACGAAAAAGGGACTAATAAAACACACTCGCGCGCGCGACGCGCAGCGAAATGTAAAAAAAAAAAACGGAAAAAGAGAGAGAAAAGTGGAACGAGAGAAAAAAAAAAGTTAACGCAGTCCTTGCGCGTGTATATATACCACTCGGCTTTTACGATATGTAAAAAGCTCGCAAGCTCGCTCGCGCGCCACCGGAGCGAAATCGCGAATGAAAAGTGTATACACAGGCGCGCGCGATGTATATATGTATAGCGCACCTCGAAGATTCCACACTTTCTTATTCTCTTTTGCATATACAGTGTGTATATATACACAAATATATACATACGTAGTAAGGAGCGAAGGTAAGTGTGCGTACGGAGAGAGAAAAAAAAAATAAAAAGAAAATTTGTACAAGAGAGAGAGGAGCTCGTGTTTATACTACCATTTCGTTTTCTGCATACACAGAGAGTTGAACGTTTGTCGTTCGTTCTATATATACAGAGCAGAGAGTCAAAATCTGATATATTTCATAATTCGATGATCGCAAAGAGAGGCTAACGGAAAGTACGAAGAAGAAGAAGAAGAAGAAATACAACAACGTACTCGTCTCGAAAAAATCAGTTTACGATAATCGCTCGTATTATGCCATCATAAATAAGAGAAACTTTTGTTCCATCTCTCCCTTCCTACCTACCTCTCTCTTCGGAGGCAGTTTTCCTTGTATATAAGCGTGGAGATAGCTCAAAAAGTTCAAATTGATTTTACTCGATCGAGAGGAAAAGGGATAGAGAGAGAGAGCTATACGACAAATCCCCGAGCAAAATCGAATTACTTGCTTTTATTTTCTCCAAAGTAGAATGTTAGGTGAATTTTATGAAAGAGAGAAAGTGGGGGATAGAGAGAGAGTGAAAAAAAGGCAGAGCGACGTTTTACAATCGTTATAACGTGTAGGGTATACATACAGTATATAGAAAAAGACGCCGCGGAAGAAGAGAAACACAGAAAAAGCTTATGTATAAAAAGCTAGAAAAAAAAGGCTAGAGTTGGCCTGAAAATTAGTCCTTTGACGGGGTTGGCCTCTCTCCCTCTTTGAAGAAAAATCTTCGCTCCTACTGCCGCTACTTTCTCCAACGCTGGAATGTTTGACGTATTACTACTACTACTACGAGCTCGAGGTTAGGTGCCCCCGAGTTCTCTCTCTCTCTCTACACAAACACGAAAAAAGAAAAAAATTTAAGCAGTAGGCAGACATCATTAGAGGCGCGCGCGGGACTCGAGAATATAATGCTGCCAAGGGAGAATCGCTCGGTGGAGAAGTCGAGCCGAGGTGGTGGTGGTGGTGGTAGGAGAAAAAACAAGCACTGCTGCTGCTGCAGTGCCTCGTCGCACACGCGTCAAGATTTATTAACGTCGCTGTGGAGTCGGGGGGAAGGCACTAAGAGACAGAGACAGAGACAGAGAGAGAGAGAGAGAGAGAGAGAGAGAGGGAAAAACTCGACGTTCGCATTTCTCGCTGCACGAAGCACTACGCGAGCTTTGACAAATCAAGCGTATATATCCGAGAGCTTACATTGTATAATCAAACGGATAAACAATATATACATATATCCGACGTATAAAAGCTCGGTTATGCGTGCACGAAAGCGCTCTTCGCGTCGTCTCGAGCTTGCATGCGCTTCGACTATTCGAGTATCGAGAAATCGCACGCTCGCGTCAGGATCGATCGCGTACACTACGTAGATGCTCAACGACCGAACGAGGACGCGCCGAGCAGCGGCATAAAAAAAACGAAGAAGAAGAAGAACTGAGGCAGCGAGCGAGCAAAGGCACAAAGTACATATATATAAAAGATATAGAAGCTCCGATATATAGATATTCGAGTATACACATACATAATCGTGAATCAATTTTATTAGCAGAATATTTTCCTCGCGGTTGAGAGAGAGATAGATAGATAGACGAATAACTTAACGGGGCGTGCGCTAAGCGATTTTTAAAGAGCTTTTATCTTTATCTTCGGCGAGGCGCGCGCGCGAGAGAGAGATATCCCACTGCGGATAAGCCCGCCCGCGCGTGGTATATATAGCGTATATATAATACATTATATATCCTGTGTGTGTGTGTGTGTGTATCGCCTAAAAGCGATCGAGAAAGGAGAGATGTAAATTTGTTATAATCTCTAATCGAAGCCGTTCTCCGATCTATGTATATATACAGGGAGCGGGCGGGCGACACCCCGAGTAATAAACTGTTACAGCGCTAGAGGATCGTAAAAGTTTCATCCATCGGGCGCGCGAGGGAAAAATGATGTTACTGCTGCCGTTCGCGCAGTAGCACGAGCTCCGTCGATATCGAGAGCTACGTGTATACATCTATATAATGTTGAGCTTGCACAGTTGCGGACGAGACAGAGAGAGAGAGAAACACGCAGGGAGTAAGTGAGAGTAAGGGAAAAATACATCGAGTAGAAAAGTTTTAATTGCTAGCTGCAGGCTTGGCATATAGATATAGATACGTAAAATGCAAAAGTACAAGCTTCGCTGATTGGCATCTCTAGCTGCTGCTGCTGCTACTACGACGACGAGGAGGAGACGTTTGAGCCCCGCGGAACATGGCTCGATGCCATCGAGAAAAGTAGCAGAGCAGAGAGATATAGAGATAGAGATAGAAGAGAGAGAAAAAAAAGGAAGCGAACTTCGAGCTTTGGCAGAGAGAAGAAAACTCTTTTCTCGCTACATGATGGAGAAAAAAATGAAAAGAGCCAGCTAGCGAGCTTGTTTTCACTCGTCCCCCGAAATTTGATCTATGCGAGCGATTAAAGCTCGGCGGGTCGGTGCATTACATCGCTTTTTGCTTTCTCGCTCTCTCTCTCTCTCTTTCTCTCTCTCTCATATAGGCGTGCTGCAAAACAAACACAGAGAAAGAGAGAGAGAGAGAGCAGAAAAGCTCGGAGTCATCGTTTTCATAAAATTCATTAGTTAATTAACTATCGTGAAAAGAGAGAGACTCTCGCTCTCTCTCTCTTCGATTGCTATTACTTATCCAAGTAGTTTTTCTCCTTTGCTATAATATATACGGTCGGCTGCTGCCGCCGCTGCGCTACCTGAATTTTAATTCGGGCTCCGCCGCTACGGCTCGCGAAGGAGATATATTCCCTAAAGTCGCGTTCGATCTGCGCCGATGTGCATTAATATCCTTGCCAGCCAATTTCCGTGTTTTAAAACCGTGGCAAAGGAGTAGTAGTAGTAGCAATGGTGAATGTGTAAATTCGAAAGGTACATTATATAAATCGAGGCACCCGATGCAAGACGTAAAGAAGTAAGAAGAAAAAAAATTTTTTCTTCTGCCTCTCGTCGTGATACGCCCTGTGAATTTTTGAGCGGTACGATTACGGTCGCGACTTCGTACATACATAAAAAATAAAAAAAATATATAATAAAAATAAAAAAGGTAGAGAGAAAAGCTCGGCTATATATACCGAAACACGAAAATGCTCTTGCGTGTGCGCTCGGACGAGGTAAAAAAAAAAAAGGAGGAGAAAAATCAGAATGAAAGAAGCCGAAAGAGACTCGAGCATTTCAATAGCTCTTAATTCTTCTATGCGGCGCACAACAGCGGCAGCGGCAGAAGGAGAGGGATTTTTTTCTATTTCAGTTCAGGTCATGTCAAGCTTATACTCTTAACGAATGAAATTATATCGCGTTTCCCTTGTCTCAAATGGGAAGGAAAAAAAAGAGAGGGAGAAGAAGAAGAAGAAGAAGTGGAGGAGGACGGAAGCATCAGAGGAAAGATCTTAGAGAGAGAGAGCGGTCTTAGGGAATCGCGCGAGCATTAATAAGATCTTATCACTGGGATGGGATTTGAGACCAAAAAGGCTCTTAGCTCCGGTAAATTGAGAAAAAGAGGGCATGAGAGAGAAAAAAAAGAGACAGAGAAAAAAGATGCGCGCGCGCTCGAACATATAATAAAATGAAAAGTAAGCGGGGAATATAACAAAAAAATAACGAGAAAAAAAAGGAAAGAATTTCGATGGCTGCGTCGCGAGAGGACAAAACAATTTGAACTTTTTAATCCGACGCGGCGGGCCCCCAAAGCAGCAGCAGCAGCAGAGGCAAAAGCTTTACTCCTTTCTCTCTCTCTCTTTTTTTTCATTTTATTCGCTTCGATATTGAGATGCAAATGCTGTTTCGCGGCTGGCTGTGCCAGTACCGCTACCACCACCATTGACCCCCTCCCTCTAGCGCACCTATTGTTCGATCGAAAATACGCTCGAGAAATAAGAGAAAATTAATAAAATCTCGCGCGAACACAAAAGTTTTCTCTCTCGACTCCGCGTTAACGCGCTCCTATACATACAGAGAAAACTCGAGGATAAATTAAGGTTACGTATACACACACCCGCGCAAGAGCCGAGAGATAGAGAGCGACGAGGGGGTATTTTTTCTAATCTCTTTTTTTTTCGATAATCCGTAAGTGCCTGCTAGATAGTCCAGGAAAGGTACGCACTTTGGTTAATCGGCTATAGCAGCAGCAGCAGCAGAGTGCCGAAAACACGTCGGAATTTCTGGCCGAATTATACGGATGTATATAATGTTTATGCACTAAAAAGACTAGCGCAGAATGGGGATGGGGGCTAAGGTCAGTGGATTTGACGGGGCTTGAAAAATGCGCGCAGAGAGCCGTGGCGGCGGGCGCGCGCTTTTATATATAACGAAGATTAAACTCACAAAGCTCTCGGAGTACGAGCTTGCAAGCTCGCCCGTATATATACACGATATATATACATGCTTAAAACACGGGGCGCTTGGATAAACCTCGACTGCTCTGCTGCTGCCGCTGCTGCTGGGGGTGTTGATGCATAAAATACAGCAGCAGCAGCAGCTTTTATAACTTCGGATCGAAGGTCCTTCACGCCGTTGATTATCGATTTTAACATGCAAGAATTACTAAAGTGCCCGTGCGCGCGAGCGAGTGTACATGCATGCTCTTTTCTCTTCTTCGTTTTTTCTGCGCCCCCTTCCCTCCTCTACTTCGTTTCTTCTTCGATTTACTCGTTCTTTTTTTTGCTCTCTCGTTGCGCTATACGTGAAATATCGAAATTCGTTGTCAACGTTAGATAGAGCCGAGCCTCGAGTGTGTAAGAGGGAGAAAAAAAAGCCCATCGATAATATATATGGCATGCGAGCTATGCAGCTCGTCGATACATTAATTTTCCGAGCTTAATTAGCAGGCCAGTCACGCGCGTCATCGAGCCTATCTTTCTTTCTTCTCTCTCCCTCTCGCTTTTCGTTGCATTTTCAGAATTGCGATTACTAATACTTTGTAGAGTCGCGAAGTTATACGCAGTACATGAAGTGAGCGGGAAAGTTCGAAATTCGTTACTTTCTACGAGCCCTCGATCAAGGGGACCGACCTGTACGTTAAAAGCTTAAATTCAGCTTCAGCTAAAAATAGCTATATAAATCGAAATAGTGGAAAATTTTTTATGGGATAATAAAATATGTTCATTAGACACCTTATTGACCAAAACAACTTCTACCCAACCTCTGAAATACCAATTACATCACTTTTTTCATAAGACGAAATGTTGTGTTATAAATCATTTGCCGCATGAACTTGAAAAGAGTTTTTCATCAATATTGATCTATGGGGTCTCAAAATCTTCAGAAAAGTACCCTCATCCATCTAAGCGGAGCAGAATTTTGAAAAATTGCGTACAACTTGATATACACGTCAAAATGTGACAATTTTTAAGAAAATTAGTATTTTATCAACACTAAATGCCATATTTAAGCTCTTGGAAAAAAACAAACTTTTTTTTCAAATTCTGCCCCGTTTGAGTGAATGAGGGTACTTTTCTGAAGATTTTGAGACCCCATTGATCAACATTGATGAAGAGTTTACGTCAGAATCGCGTGACAAGTAAATCCAATTATAATATTTAGTATTATGAAAAAATAGGCGTAATTGGCATTTCAGAGCTTGGGTAGAAGTTTTTTTTGGTCAATCAGGTGTCTAATGAATTTATTTTACTATCACAAAAAGAAATTTCCACTATTTCGATTTATATAGCTATTTTCCCCGTTCCCCTTAATCATCGCGACTTAATTTCAAATTCTATCGCTAGATGTCACTTTCAAATCCACAAGTAAATACATCGAGGTTATACATCAAGTGTAATTCATAGTCAGACTGGTCTATGACTCAGTGAATCATAGACCAGAACTTCTAACGACGATGAAACAAAACAAAAAAATACAGTGTCCCGTGTTACATAATCCAAAGTGCCATTATATCGTATACTCACGATATCGATGAGCTGCGACAGTCTGAGTCCCATCTTGACGGTGAGCCGGTCGCTGTTGTTGCCCACCGGCCTGATGAGCCTGTTGTAGTTGGACAGCAGGTCGTCGTAGAGCCGCTTGGCGTCCGGATTGGCCGCGGACTCGCGCGCAGCCAGCATCAGCAGCAGTAGCAGGGCCAGGAACAGCCAGTTTGTCGCCGGTGCACCACCGTTATCGAGGAGTAGCGGCACGCCAGTAGTAGTCCGCCGCCAACGACTCCTCGCTCTTCTTCTTCTTCTTCTGTGTGTCGTTGATGCTGATTTTGTTTGTTCGAGATGAGGTGTTGCTGCTGCTGCTGCCGATAAGGACGACGACGATGTCGATGACGATGTCGATGACAAAGATGACGATGACGATGACGATGACGATGATGACGATGCTGATCGAGAACGGCAGGCGCAGCCAAAACGGCTGCCGCTATTATCGTTCCCGTCTCCTCCTGTTCCTCCTTCGCCTCCTCCTCCCACTTCTTCCTCTCCTGCGCTGCAGCGTCCGAGCGACGTACTAGCATCCTTGGGCATCGTACGCCTTGTCCACCCCTTTTCGAAGAAGAGCAAAAAAATTAACCGTATAAATAACTGTTTATCGGGTACATAGGGCCGAAATTTCGATCGATCGATAATGTATATAAATACGCTGCCTGCTGGGGGCGGCTCGTTTTATATTATTTTTTCCATCCTCCCCCTTTTTTTTACTTCGTCTTCGGTCTTCTCTCTCTCTCTCCTTCTTTTTATTAAAGTAGCCAGCTGCATTTTCGACACGTTTTGACCCAAATGGCCTCAAGTATTTCAAAGCGCGCGCAGCTTCGCTCGAGATACACACTAACCCACACACACACACACACGTAGAATCTAATCAAGCTAAAAGCCAAAAATAAGGTAGAATGAGAGAAAAAAAATAATAAAAAGAAAAATGAAAAGAAAATGAAAGAAAAGGAAGAAGACGTGTGTGAGAGTGTGAGTGTATACAACAAACACGCAGCACGTGTGCTGCTGCTGCTGCTGGCAGCAATAAGCAATTGTATATATAGTGGGTCAGTGTTATGTAGCCGGACTGACGGCTATATGAAGCTGCGCTTCGTACATGGCAGCTGGCAGACAGTCGGACGGACGGACGGATGGACGGGTGGGACGCGCGTATCGTGGTCATTACCAAAAGCGCGTTATATCGCACAAACACATAGGTAATATACACACATACACGAGCTTTCGGAACTCCATCTATACATATATAGGAGGCTACGAGGCCGAGAGTTGCCGAGCAGCAGCAGTGCGCCTTTATACAATCTCTCAAGGCGGCCGTGACTGAGTCTAAGGGTCGAGTGAGCTAATTATGTCAAGAGAGAGAGAGAGAGAGAGAGAGAGAGAGAGAGAGTGAGAAGACTGCGGAAAGGGCCTCGGGCGAATTTTCCCAACCGCAACACACTTGCACGTAACTTACACACACACATACACGAACTTGGCTTAAGCTCTCTGGCCTTATGTAGATTCTAGGAACAGTTTCGAAACCGCCACGTACACACACACGCTTACTTGTATATATGTATATAGACCTACGGTGTTATACTTGGGTCTCGTCGTAGTCGTCGTATAGTCGCGAAATCGATCATCCTGCCTGACTGCGCTTTAAACACACACACACACACACACACACACACACACACACACACACACAGGTGTACACGTATACCTGAGCCTATAGTCTATACGTATAGAGCTTGACTTAACGCGCGCGCGCCCGAGACTTTGCAAGCCCAGTAGGTATTTACTCTCGCCTCGTATCAATGTCGGCGGCGGCGGCGGTCGTCGTCGAAAGATATAGGCTTGTGCCGCTTATTTACACTTCTCGCGTCGAGTAGTGGTGCATAAGTAGATTAGGTCAGACCTAATGCATAGACGGGGCATCGGCAGTATACCAGCAGTGCACACCGGAGCTTGCGGCTGCGAAAAACGAGATGAAAAATAAAAGAACAACGTTTGTGTGTGTGTGTGTGTACTTGGCTGGTCTATGGGGCGAGAATAATCCTTTCTTTTTTTTCACCCATGCACACGTGTGTGTCTCTTATTATTCAAGTGCGCCACGGCTACCGACGAGAAGCTCTTGTACAAGATTATAATGCGTGGCAATGGCACATAGACAGCCACGTCTATAACATAGCCTGGCTCTCTCTCTCTCCCTCCCTAGCTGCCAACCTCTCACTTTGCGTCCGTCCGTCCGTCCGTCCTCGTTGCTAATCGCATTATAATGCCCCACGTACGCATCTACTTATGCACCGTATATCGACGCCTCTTACGAAAAGTAGGTAGTTTACGTGTTAAGTTAAATGTAAACTTCCTACTTTTCGTAAGAGGCGTCGATATATACAGCTGCAGAAGCAACAGCCAACGCGCGCGAAGCTCCACGCCCACCGTGGAGCATTATTTTCCTTAATACTCCTGCACTACTACTGCACTACCCTGAACTAAGCGATGGCACGACGGCGAGCTCCTTTGATCTTCTTCGTGGCGAAGAGCGAGAGATAGTGGCTTCATTAGGCTGCCGCGTTTTTTGTCACTGTACTATCGTCTCTTCATCTCTCGGGCTCTATCCCCGTAGTTAATACATACATACGCGCGCGCGAGCTTATAATTATTCTTTCATAAATAATGACGAATACAGCTAGCGCTGCTGCGCGTTATAATGCACAAAGGCTGCAGGTGCGATAAAAACGGCGTACAAACGACTTTTTAAGAGGCTGAAATAAGGCGTGTAGCGTGAAAGCTCGTAAAGGATCTCGCGCGCTGATGTGCATATAGCTTTGAGGCGCGAGCGACGCGGCAAAGTGTTTTCAACCTGAATATTGATAAGAAAGTGCCGAAAAAGGTATACGTCGACGCCTACGCTGGCATCAGCAGCAGCATCAGCAGCGAATCGCGTGCAACAAAGTGAGAGAAAGAGAGAGAGAGAGCTATAGCTAGGCTGTGCAGGATATTTTGGCCTGACGCGCGCGCATAAAGTCGCTTAATTAATCATTCAGACCGACAGAGAGAGAGAGAGAATACACGAGAGCGAGCTTGCGCCAGGCAGCAGCAGCAGCAGCAGCAGCAGCAGCAGGGAGAGATCAAGGTCGCTTTTCATTCTCTCTCACTCTTGCTCTTGCTCTCTCACTCGGAGAGAGCTTGATAACAGTTGGCTTATACAGCCGCGCCCGCCCGTGTCGGGGTAAAGCCATCAACGCTAGGCTTTATATAATGGCACTGATGACGTAATTAAATTCTCTCTCTCTCTCTCTCTCGCTCGCTTCCACTCTCCGGAGCTGATCGTTATGGCTGATGACGACGATGTCCGACGCGATATATAACACACACACATACATACACACAGAGCCACAACGCGGGAGCTTGCGATGCTCGTTCGACGGTCGATCAACTTGAAATAATCATAATAAACGACGATAATAAAGCGGAGAGCGCGGAGAAAGATAGATTAAAAGAGAGAGAGAGAGAGGATGAAAAATAACGAGTCGACGAGGGAATGATTTTTTTTTCTGTTCGATCGATTAATCGAAACCCAAAGAGGAAGGCGAGCGAGATCGCGAATAGAAAAAAGTTGCAGGGGCCAACGTCCAGCCCCATCGGCATCGCCTTGAATTTTTTTTTCTGTATCGTGTATCGTATTATACTTGTACACGTGTACACGCATCGGCGCGCACCTCTGGAATTATGTCACACGGAATACGTATATGCACATGCACAAAGTCCACTCGAGTCGGCGAAATTTAATCGTGCTACACGTGCCCGCCCGATCATCTCGCCGTGAGCCGTCGAGGACGCAGCTTTTTACATACACAAACCAGTGGCACACAAACGCGCGCGTAGCTCGACTCTCCTTTTTTAACTTCATCCTTCCGTGAACATGATGTAATAACGCGTCCGCCGGTGAGCGGGGCACCGCGTTGCAGGTGTAAAAAGAACAACGACGACAAAAACAACGCGTACGAACGATGTCATTGACGTATAAAAATAGTCGGCAGCAAATAGTCGAATATCACGATACTCCTCGTCGTCGTCGTCGTCATACTTTTATACATAACCATCGCTTACTTTTTATATTCTCGCGAGCACTTCGTGTCGTCGTCGTCGCCATACGTATAGTAGCAGCGGTACGGTACACGTGCCATATATGTATACGAATTCGCGAGTATATAAACCCCACCCCACACAGCTGTTATATACATATAACGCGTACGCGTAATATGTGGTGGTACGTGCATACAAGTATATACTCACTCGCACACACACACACACGGGTACGGGTAGTGCGGACCTTTCGTTGCGTTTACGGTCAATGGTTAGATAGGGTGGCTTCACTCACTCGTTCGCTCGCTCTCTATACATGTAACACTCCGGGCTTTATAACGCCACCATCGACCTTAGCCTTTATATAATGTATACCGTTATATTCGGCCTCGTGTGTACGTGTGTACGTGTGTGTGCATAAATCACAGCTGTTCAATCGACTACGCGACGCGCTTATACGTGTGTGTGTGTATACAAGCCTCGCTGTAAAAGGCCTAATTACTCTCGAGCTCGTTCGCTGAGCAATTATAATATAGATGAGCGGGTATTACATATCGCGCGGTATATATATACATCGCTGTTGCACTTTTCAATCTATCTATACCGCATACACGGTATATACACCGCACGGTACTATATAGCAACGGCACTCGACGAAAAATCGAGCCAAAGTTTGGATCGCGATCGACGACGACGACGACGACGATCGTCGACTTGCGGTTTTGTATCAGAGAGCTAACGATAAACGCGATGTACACGCACGTGCAGCTATAGGACGTGGATCAAAAGTTGTCGACTGAAACGCGAACTATATGTATGTAATAACCACGAGACTCGATCTTTCGATGTGTATACACGAGCGATATATCGCGCGGTTAGCTGCGCTGCTCGCGTGCAGATTTATATGCTTGCGCGATATACATGTATATAGCGAGAAAGAGAGAGGAAGAGAGAGAGAGAGAGAGCGATTCTAGCGTCAGCAGTCGGAGTTTGTTAAACTTGATTTGGAGCCGCAAGGGGACCTTTGGCAGTTCGCCGCCGCTTTTGCATATATAGCCGCTCTATATAGCTAGCCGATGCTGCCGCCGCCGCTGCTCTCAAGTTTACAAAGTGCAAAACCCGCGACAGATAAGCAATTAATTAACATAATGTATACAGGTATATATAAATACACGTTGCCTCCCGCAGAGAGTCTCGAGTTGCTGGCGTGGCCGTAGTCGTCGTCGTCGGCTAAGAATTAGCGACTCTGCGTGCGCATATTATTATAATAGTTGGACAGCTTGTACGCGCGCAAGCGGTATTCGCATTTAATTGTAATTATCGCATTGTGCTTTGAAAGCTCGACTCTCGAGAAAGAGAGCAGCGCAGCAGCTTTAATTGCCATTTATAACGAGAAAATATTTCGTAAGTAATTCTCAGCGAATGGAAAGCGCGGTTTACGATTTGAGTGATCCGTCCAGATACATTCATTTTACATAGAT